ATATAATAATAAGTTTAATACTCTTCTTTTAAATGTTTAAAAAAAAAAAACCTTTTCTTTCAGATCTTTGCCAAAAAACTTTAAAAAATCGAGTATAGTTGTTTTGTTCCAATAATACTATGAAGATTTTTGGTACAAAATTTTGTTAGTCCCATAGTTCTTACAGTTCTATGATAACTTTGTAAAGTATCACAAGTTACATGGTATTTCAGTCGGTTCACATTTTTATTCAGTGGCTATATATACACGTAGTTATATACTCACACAAGAAGGTGAGTCCAAAATTAAATCAGACACACAATAACACAATTATATCAATACAGAAAAAATTACAGAGAATTTTATGTTATATACATTCACAATATGGTGCACATTAATCACAATTTAATGCAGCTTTTTAATCTTTAAAAAACAAATGGACAGGTAATTCTATAAGTTTTTTATATATATTATTTATATTTTACTATAATTTAGATTAAAAACAACAATAAGCTACAATATTATGAAATTTTAATTGCTCAAGTAACCAAAACAATTTAAAATGTAACCCGATAGATTAATTATTTACTGCAAAAAAATGTTTCTTTGTATTCAATACTATATTAATATCTGCTTACACACAAATTTATGATAAGATATTTTAAAATCCGTCAAAATTCAATTGAGAAAAATGGAAAACTAAAAAGAGAACATGTAAAAAAAAAAAAAAAGATAATTATTAAGTTGAAACCACAAAAGAAAAATATAATATTTATTAGATTATTTTTCTATTTCATTTCTTTTCATTTAATAATTATTAAATATTTCCAAATATTTAATATTTTATATTTATATATAAAGTTGGATTATTTCTAATGATTGAGCATGATAATCCTCCAATTTAAATTTAAGTTTTTGCAAACATTTTCCACATCAACATAATGGTAAATCAAAATAACAAATCATAAGATAATGCATAATATAATATAGTAAATAATTATTTTGTTGTAATAAATAGAAAAAAAAAATTACATTCTTTAATTTTGTTTCTTCAGTTTTTATTCATAACTGTTTTTGGTTTTTCAGTTTTAGTGACTAAATATTAAAAGAATAAATATATTTTCAGTTTTATTCATTCTCTTTCGCTAATGATTTTTGACACATGTTTTAATCATTTTAATTAGCAACTTTGAAACTTTAAATTTATATAATAAGAATGAATGTTTTGTTTAATTTTGTTTTTATTAGTTATCAATAATTTCTCAGATTTTTTTAAATTATATTTTTCATTAGTTTTACTCTATTATTTAGAAATGCAGATATTTTTATGTTTTTATTTGTTTCCTGAAAACTGAGTACTGTTAGCTTTTTATGCAAACTGATATCATCATATTATATAAAGTTTGATTCGTTAAAATTGCAAATTAATATGACCGAGTACAAAATATAAAAGTATCAATAAATTATATTTTCACATAATGATAGTACAAATTTAAATATCATTTAAAAAGGTCAAATAAGTATCTTTTATATTATTCAATTATATTAAAAATTGTATGATAGATTACTAATAGTAACTGCAAAATAATTTAAAATAAAATAAAAATTACATAAGAAAATTAAAAAAAAAAGAAGTAAACAAGATTAATTTTTTTGAAAAAAAAGACAAGGAAATATCTCTTATGTTTTCTAATTAGGTTAGACAAATTGTGTAATTAATTACTAATAAGAAAAAAATTACGAAATTAAAAAAACAGTTAATTATTTTAATAAAAAAAATAAAATTGATTTTTAATTATTTTTATTTTACTATAGTTTAGATTAAAATATAACTATAAGCTACAATATTATGAAATTTTTCAAACTGATCAAGTTACCAAAAAAACTTAAATTAAAAAACATATTTTAAAAAATGTAACCCGACAGATCAAAAACTTACTTCAAAAAATGTTTCTTTGTATTAAATACTTTCTTTTTAAAACAAATACTATATTGATATCTGCTTACACATAAATTTATGATCAGATATTTTAAAATCCATCAAAATTCAATTGAAAAAAACTGAAAACAAAAAAGAGAACATGTGAAAAAAAGAAAGATATAATATTTACTACATTATTTTTTTATTTCATTTGTTTCCATTTAAAACTTATTAAATATTTCTAAAGAGTTAATTTTTTATATTTATATATAAATTTGGATTATTTCTAATGATTTAGCATGATAATCCTCCAATTTAAATTTAGGTTTTTGCAAAAAAAATTCACATCAACATAATTGTAAATCTAAATAACAAATAATAATATAATGCATCATATAATTTAGGAAATAATTATTTTGTTGTAATAAATACAAATAAATTTTTACATTCTTGAATTTGTTTCTTCAGTTTTTATTCTTAATTTGTTTTTTGGTTTTTCAGTTTTATTGACTAAATATTAAAAGTTTTATAATATTATTAAATTAAACTTCTCAAATATTAATATTCAAGAAACAACAAATTTATGAAAAATAGAAACTGATACTCTATATTTATATATTTATTTTTATAGAGATTATGGTGAAACAAAGAGAAGGAAAAAATGTGTTCTGCAGTTCTAAATACAAACCACTTTTTCAACCATATGGGTGTGAAAGAAATGTTAAAGCCAAATGAGTATTGTACTTGTTGCAGCTCATCATACTTAAATAAAATAATACCAGAGTAGATTGTCCCATTGTCATGTATGTAATTCAAAGTGAAAAATAGAAAATTAAGAAGATTGGAACCTTCAAACTGACAGGAAAGATAACATAATGCCATTGTGCTTATAGATGTCTTTAAAAACCATTATACTCTGGTAAACTTAAAAATCTACCAGACAATTGGATAACCAAGCTAGGTTACATTAGCACCAAATTTCTTACATTTTTTAAGTGGTATTGTTGCATATAGAAAGACTATTGAGCCCTTATCATTTTTTCAACACACTTTATTTCTTCTTTCTTTTCTTTGCACACAGTTTTTTCATTTTCTAAAACTAAAAAAAAAAATAAGAAGAAGAAAAATGGTCATGATGGTTATCAATGATGGCGTTGTCGATGGTAATGGTAATAGCGGTGTCGGTGATGGTGGTTGTGATGGCAGTGCCAGTAGTGGCTGTGGTGATGGTACTGGTGTCGGTGATGATGATGGTGGTGATACCAGTGATCATGGCAATAATGGTGGTGGTGATGACGACATTGCTGATGGTGGTAATAATAATAATGATATTGATAGTGAAAGATTATGGTGATGGTGGTGAAAAAAGGTTGATGACGATGGATGACACTATAGCGTTAGCAATAATATCAATAACGGTTAACATATGAAATGAGTAAATTCCTTCAATTCTCGATCACTGTTATAACTGTTTTCACTATTTTTACTACAGATTTATATATATATATATATATTTACAATCATTTTAACATTTAATAAATAATCATTACAAAATAGAATTTTCTTTTTAACAGAAAAATAGAGTTATTGTTAACATGTTATTGATCTATGTTTTTGTCAAAATTTAATATTGGAATTAGATAGCGGTTTTTAAAATAAATTATAAATCTATATATAATAGTAAGTTTAATACTCTTCTTTTAAATGTTTTTTAAAAAAAAAAACTACCTTTCTTTCATATCTTTGCCAAACTAATTTAGAAATTCGAGTATAGTTGTTTTGTTCCAATAATATTATGAATATTTTTGGTGAAAATTTTTTTTAGTCCATAGTTCTTACAGTTCTATGATAACTTTGTGAAGTATCACAAATTGCATGGTTTTTCATTCGGTTCACATTTTTATTCAGTGGCTATATATACACATAGTTATATACTCACACAAGGAGGTGAGTCCACAAATTAAATCAGAAACACAATAACAAAATTATATCAATACAGAAAAATTGCAGAGAATTTTATGTTATATACATTCGCAATATGATGCATGTTAATCACAATATAATGCGGCTTTATAGTCTTTAAAAAATAAATGCACAGATAATTATTAAAGTTTTTTATATATAATATTTTTATTTTACTATGTTTAGATTAAAATAAAACTATAAGCTACAATATTATGAAATTTTTCAAACTGATCTTATTACCAAAAAAAAAACTTAAATTTAAAGACATATTTTAAAAAATGTTACCCGACAGATCAAAATTTTACTTCTTTGTATATTAAATACTATATTGATATCTGCTTACATATAAATGTATGCTAAGATTTTTAAAATCCGTCAAAATTCAATTGAAAAAACTGAAAACCAAAAAGATAACATGTGAAAAAAAGAAAGATGAATCATTAAGTCGAAACCACATAAGAAAAATATAATATTTATTAGATTATTTTTTATTTCATTTGTTTTCATTTAAAACTTATTAAATAATTCTAAATAGTTAATGTTTTATATTTATATATAAATTTGCATTATGTCTAATGATTTAGCATGATAATTCTCCAATTTAAATTTCGGTTTTTGCAAACCTTTTTCACATCAACATAATTGTAAATCTAAATAACAAATCATAATATAATGCATCATATAATTTAGTAAATAATTATTTTGTTGTAATGAATACAGATAAATTTTTACATTCTTGAATTTTGTTTCTTCAGTTTTATTCTTAATTTGTTTTTTTTGGTTTTCCAGTTTTATTGAATAAATATTAAAAGTTTTATAATAATGATTAAATTAAACTTCTCAAATATTAATATTCAAAAAACAACGAATAATAATATTTCTTTTGTTATGAAAAATAGAAACTGATACTTTATATTTGAATATTTATTTCTATAGAGATTATGGTGAAACAAAGAGAAGGCAAAAAATGTGTTATGCAGTTCTAAATACAAACCACTTTTTCAACCATATGGGTGTGAAAGAAATGTTAAAGCCAAATGAGTATTGTAATTGTTGCAGCTCATCTTACTTCAATAAAATTATACCAGAGTCGATTGTGCCAATATTCTATATGTAATTCGAAGTGGAAAATCGATAACTAAGAAGATTGAAACTTTCAAACTAAAAGGAAAATTAACATATACCATTGTGCTTATACATATGCGGTAAAATTAAAAATCTACTAGACAATTGGATAACCAAGCTAGGTTACATTAGCACCAAATTTCTTACAGTTAATAAAGAGGTAGTGGATAAACTACACAGCCTTTACATAATGTAAAAACTCACTTACTTCACTAGTATCATAAGCCTTCGAACTACATAAAAAGGAACCTTTAAAATTAGAACTTGATTCATCTAGCTCTAGGATTAAGCTCTGTTGTGAAATTCATGGACAGCTCGATCGAAGAAGCATCGTTAGTCGAATCCATCGTACGACTTGCCATGTTTCTTGCCATCTCCATGTTGAGAGATTCTTTCAGATCCATTACGACTTGAGTCATGGTCGGTCTCCGTAATGAAGACGGATTCAGGCAAGTCATTGCGGTTTCAACAACTTTCCATATCGTGTTCGGATCAAAGTCTCCTTGAAGCTTAGGATCCACGATGCTATTAATGTCTCCTCTTGATAGCATCAAACCAACCCATTCACCTATATGCGATCTTTCCCTTTTCTGGTCTATCACTGGTCGGTTCGTTACCAGCTCAAGCAGAACAACACCGAAGCTGAACACGTCGCTTTTCTCTGTCAACCAGTTAGTTCTGTAGTATCTGACCAGAAGAAAGTGAACCACAATGTTAAAAAAGAGTAAACAAGAAAAGATATCAAGAAGTGACTGAGACTTACTCGGGATCGAGGTAACCAGGAGTTCCAGCGACTACGGTTGAGACATGAGTTTCGGTTCCAAGCGGGAAAGACCGTGAAAGCCCGAAATCGGCAAGCTTAGCTTGAAATCTCTCGTTTAATAATATGTTAGTTGTCTTGATGTCTCGGTGAACTATTTGCGGTTTGCATCCATTGTGCAAATACTCCAATCCTTGAGCTGATTCCGCTGCTATACGAAGCCTTCCTTCCCAAGTAAGTATCGACGGTCCACGTTTCCCTGAAACCATCATGTTTTGAAACAAAAAGATCAGAATCAACACCTACTGGTTCGTTATCTTGAATTAAAACCTGACCTGATAAGTGCTCTTTCAAGTCTCCATTCGCCATGAACTCATAGATTAGAGACAACTTATCGTCTTCTTCGCAATATCCAACAAGACACGTGAGATCTTTGTGATGAACTCTAAGAAGCAACTCAACCTAACAAGTATACAAACACTGAAACAGAATCAAAACACCATTTTTTTTTTCTTTTTCTTTTCTTTATGTGGTTAAGAGAAATGTTAGGCTCTTGAATACTGTTACAACCTCGGCTTTAAACTGTTTGTAACCAAGTGCTGTAGACTCAGTAAGCATCTTAACAGCTACTGGTTCGTTATCCAATACGCCGTAATAAACCACACCAAAACCTCCCCTACCAAGAACCCTCTCAAAGTTGTTTGTGATCTTGACAACATCTATGTAAGTCAACTTCCGGTTCTTGGCTATCACGGGGGATTCGTAACCGTGGTGAGACCTCGAATGTAACGGTGTTGTACCGGTACCTGGATTAGGGTTAAGACCAAGCTTGGCTTTCTTCTTCCTCTTAAGGATAAGGAAAGTAACGATTCCAGCTGCAATGAGGAATACTGAAACAAGTGATGCCGCAACAGGTGCAATAACCGTGTTTTTCTTCTTCTCCTTCGTGGTGGCGCATGAAACGGACGAACAGAGCCCGGTGTTACCTTCGATACTAGAGATTTATATAGGTGATTGAAAGATAAATTTGATTAGAAAGGTCTAATAATTTTAAAAGTTTGTGTGTTTTTCAGCTTATACGCACGGATTGTTACCTTAATGAAATCGATCCTCTTCGTGCTTTATCAAGGAGAGTTGGAGGTATTGAACCATTTAGCTCATTGGCTGATAGATTTCTGCGCAAAACAGAGTAAACAGAGGTTATAAAATATTAGGGTTCTTTTCTTTTTTTGGTGTTCATAAAATAAAATATTTAGATTTGAGCTTTTTAGCGCTTGAACCTACATGAGTTTTAAGGTTTCCATGTTTGCTAGAAACTCCGGAACCGAACCAGTTAAACTATTGTTAGACAAGTCGCTGCAAGAAAGTCAAAGCAAGCAAAAATATATATATCAAAACATCTGATATGAATTCACAACTTGGCCGCAGTTTCTAAGAGACTTGAGCATATTCTCTACTTACAGAGCTTCTAAATTGGTAAGGTCTGATATGAATTCCAATATCTCTCCTGTTAAGCCACTTGCAGACAAGTTCCTATTTTTAAAGATCACATAACCTTTTGTAAGAAAGCATTTAGAGAACAAATCAAACTCTGTTCTAAAAACAGAACAAACTCTATACTTACAAAGATATGATCTTTGGTTGCTCATTGTCAGTGTAACTGCAATTGACACCAGACCACCTATAAGTCCGTGGGACGCAAGGATCCCCTTCCCAGTCAACCTTGTTCACGCCGTAACCAGACTTTATGTTCATCATTGCGTCAACTGATGAAAAAAAAAAAAAAAATACTTCTTATGTAAAAGTTTGGTTCTTGATCAACAATAAATCACAAAAGTAGTTAGTTAGTTACCAACCTTCTTCTCTATCGGTTTCTAGCTCCGGCAACAAGTTAACCATATAAACCTCCATGCCATTGAGAAGAGGAGGCAATGTCGAGTTACTTGTTCTTTGGAGCGAAAACGTGTAGTGTCCATTTGCATCGGCAACAACTTCGGTAGGAGTAAATACGGAAGAAGTGGTGAGATTAAGCGGTCTAAAGGGTCCGTAGAGATGCTTGTCATTGTACATGATATTGAACTCTCTTGTTTCATTCGAACTGAGCTCTTGAATCTCGGCGAAATGCATAAAAACGTAGAACTGCGCGGTGCGGTCCACGCCGACTAGTGAAATGTTCATAGGTGCGTCCGGGTCTGTTGGAACAGAGGCTGTGACCATAGCAATCACTGGTGGTTGGAAGTCATTGTTGACATTCACCGTCTCGTTGGTACTAATCTGTGACCAGTTCCCAAAGTTGTACGGTGTCCACACACGATCAAACACATCGATACCGTACCTAAAAGGAAGAAAAACAGAGCATGTTTATACGTTTTTGCTAAGACCAGAATCTCAGTTTTGTGAGAGGAGATTCTAAGACCTGTAGCCTTGGTCAACAGTTGCGCCAACGTCTGCTCTGATGAAGAGCTGCAATGACCCTTGTCGAGTCAAGTAAGTTGTGTTCTTGAGCTTACGAAGCTCTAAAGCGGAAATAAAAGGCGTTGAGGCTCCTGTTTTGACCAGACAGATTTGTAAACGATCAGTTTTCATGACATGAATCATCTCAAAGATTGATGCTTGGGTCTCGTTTGTAGTTGAAACTGTAGTCCATAGGTTAGGTCCGAGGTGGAGCTCGAACTGCGTGGTGGGTTGATCATCATAACCGCCGTGTAAGAAACTTGTTCTGATCAGATACTCATCGCCAATTGTTAGGTTTAGGGTATAGCAGCTTCTTATGCCTTGTGGAAAACTCCGAATGTTCCTTGTGAAACAAGTAAAACAGTTAGTGAAAAAAATAGCTGAGGTTTAAGCTAACATTCCTTGATCTTGGGAGTGTTATATTATATATACCAGGCTTGTTGTTGAAACTGGGTCCGGTATGCTTGTTTGATGCTTCTACCAACACCGGTATTGATGAAATTCGCATCGGAGATGTAAGTTAGGTTTGTTGTTCTCTCACGAAAAGTAGTTCCTCTCGGCGAACCGCAATCCAAACTGATGAATCCTGAGGAAGAAGAAAAGAAGAGTAGGATTGAAAACCAAACCGGTTTTGAAGAAGATATTTTACTTACAATTGTTTTGTACCTGACTGATCTTGAGCAAGACTAAGAAATAAAGCTGAGAAAATTTGAAGAAGAACTAAGAGACGACAGGCAGAAAACGCCATTAACATTCTTCACTTCGGATTTCTTTTTTCTTTGGATTTGCAGATTAGAAAGTGAGGAATCAAATGAACAACATATATGTGGTTTAATTAAAGAAATGAAAGTTGGAATTGTTTTTCTGTCTGAACCGCGTTAGTACTAGTACTGGTTACAATTATTGAGAACTCAAAGTCAACCTTTTGGTAGAGGTGACCAATTGCGATTTTTTTTACGTTAATTCGTTGACGTATAAAAAAGCCTTATATGTTTGATAATAATTACATACGAAGAAATGTTTTTCTAATTTGAAAGATTATCCATCATTTTGATTTATAGATCTTTGAGCTACGTGGATATATATTTTTGTTTTATGGTTCAATTCATTACTAACTAGTATTATTTTTTTCTACTGAATTTTTCTTTACTTTTTTTTGCTGTTACAGTCAAGCTGCAATTCACTTTGATTAATATTGAGGATACTGAAAACAAAATAATCGATTTGAAAACAGTTTAAAAGCAAACCTTAATATTTGAGAAGTCAGAAAGGTATTGGTTAATTATACATTCTTTTTGGTGAGGAGCTAATACATGCACCAATAAAACTATGGAGAGACGACCACGACACCAAAGAACAATAACAAATCAAAAGGAAAAATGAAAAAAAAAAAAAATAGTAGCTGGTCAACATCAATGTGGCTGTATTTACAAGATTTACGATCATTATTATGGCCAAGTGGGCGATATGTATACACTATACATGTGTTATCCATATGTAAATCAACTGATAAAATCATAAAATCAAGGTTGAGAGAGAGATTCCGATCTTCTATACCGAATTCAAAATTAATTTTAAAATACAACGCAGAGAATAAAAAAGGGAATCAAACCAAAATCAAGTGGCCAAAATATTTTTCGGACATGATCGGCGGATGTCGATATCCGATTTCTAAGAGCTTGGAGAAAAATCGACTGCACATGGCTTAACCTTAATAAGGGTTGACCGTTGACATTTTCCTTTTTTTCGTTTCCGGAAAATAAGCAGAAGTCTTAGACCAAGGATTAACGAAGACCAAAAAAAAAAAAAACTAACCTAATACCAAAACCGAAAATGGGAAACATAGAATCAATTGAAATCAATCCCTGGTGTTTTTTACCGTATGAAACATTTTCCTTTTGGTCAATGTCAGTCCAGTAATTAAAAAAGAACTATTAACCTACAAAAAAAATTATTTATTGATTTGTGCTAATTATAAATATGTTGTTATATCACTATTAAAATTAAAATTCACATATTGTATATTGTTGGAAAAAAACTGAAAAAAAAATTATATTTATATAAATTTTATACTCCTTCCGTTTTTTAATATATGATGTTTTAGGTGTTTGCACAGAAATTAAAATATTATTTAATTTTCTATTTTTTTCCAAAATAAAACATGTGTTATTATCAATTCCAAAACAACTCAACCAATAGAAAAATAATATGCAGAATTCAAACAGTCAAAATAATAAAAATATAATTAATTTTTGCATAGAGAAAACATCAACTATTTTTGAACAAAAAAAAATTCTAAAACATCTTATATAAAAAAACAGAGGGAATAATAGGTTTCCATATCTATTATAAATTATAATAGACTACATAAACAAATGGATTTATTGAATATGCGCATTTATATTTTTTGTTTCTGACATCTACAATAGAAATAGACTTTATCCAAAAATATCATATGATAAATAAATATATTTTTTAGTTTTTTATCGCTAATCTACCCTAGATTTATATTGTATACTCGTTGTGCCATAAATCATAAATGTCTCTGTAAAACTGTAAGTAGATAGAACTTTAAAATCCTTCAAATCCACGATCCTTCAAATCCACGAAAGATCTAAGTGGAACAACAATAACACCATCCTCTAGAATTTGAGCTTCTTCCAGGTTCGGTTCGGTTCGCTTCTTCACATTTTCTTTGTACTGCATCTGATCGCCTGAAAGCCTGAAAGGCTGAAAGAGATAGAAAAAACATCTTGTTCTTTCTTCAATAATTTCTGATCATTATACATAAAATCCAAAAACAAATATTACAGTATAGAATGTCTTATCATTATATACATAATTAAGAACTGATTTCAACTTATGATGACCACAAACATTGTTATGTGGTGTACGTTTGTGTTTAAGCGTTTGTTATTAAAAACGAAAAAAAACACTAACGTATGTACAAAAAAAAACAATCGTGTGGCATATATAAATATATATACCTTAACTTTCCAGGAGGCAATAGATTAGCATTATAGTCTGTTTACTTTTTGAAGCTCAACCATTTAGAACATGGATTAATTTGTGAAATAATCATATTACACTATAAAATAAAGTATTTAACCATACTAATTTCATAATTGATTCAATAACCAAAAACCCTAAAATTTGTCTATTTTGTCCTTCAAACAAAATTTATAAATACATAATTATAGTATACTATATCGATTTATATTACCATACTATATATAACATATTTGTTTTTTATGAATTATATAGGATAGAGGAGAAAATGGAAAGAGACGAGGGAGGGTAAGGGAGAAGACAGAGGGGAAGGAGAGGAGATAAGAATGAGGAAAGAGGAATAAACGGAAAGAGAAAATAAAAGAAATGAGGGAAGAACAAAAAAGAGGAGAGAAACAAAAAATAGAAGAGGGATAGTTTTGTATATATTGTAAAATATATACAAAATACTATAGCCATTAATTTTTATGGTTATTTTATCTATTTTTCAGTTTTATATGGTCATATGACTCAATTTCTCTTAGAACATCAGCAACGCAGAGTTAGAGAAAAAAACTCTTAATTTTTTTTTTATTAATTTTTTTTAAAGAAAATCAATTTTAGAAAAAAAAAAAAAAATTTCGACGAATCACGTCGTGTCACGTCAGCGAAAATCGCTCCTCCAACCTCTGCATAGAGAGACGCTTCTGTCGAGCTTGTCATTAAAAAAAAAATCTTTTTTCTTCTTTTTTTTTCTTAAAACCTCAAAGCAGCTCTGCATTGTAGATGCTCTTAGTTTCCCCAAACGTACATATGTATACGTAAATATTACAATAAACTTCTAATAAAGAGTGATTTGGTGAGTCTCAGAGTCCATCTAAAATTAATTCACAGGGAACTTGTTTCAAGCTAGGGTTTGTATAACTATATAACTATTTGTAGTTCTACTAGAGATCGTTACTGCGAAACCCCACAATCATAAATAACGAGGAAAGGATGCATATAAGTCAGTAGGTTGAGTCTTTGCTCTCAAGAGAAATCATCGTAGAGATTCTTGACCCGAGCCTTTGCCGAGACTATGATCCGAATTCCGAACTCTGCGTTTAAGACCGTGGAAATAGCCGTGGCTTGTGTTTGTCGAAACTCTGGCCAGAGTTAAGTGGTGACGGCTCTTAAGGAGAGTTTGCCTGTAGAAGTTGAGAGGAAAATGCATTTGCCGATTGTATCAACAGATTCAGTTGAAGAACTCACACTTGGATTTGGTTTTAATCCACCTCCTCGTTTGAGATGGTTCAATTGTGAATTTTGTTTACGTTAATTGGCTGACGTATATAAAAAGTCGTATATGTTGCTAATAATTACATACGAAGAATTTTTTTTCTAATTTGAAAATCTATCCATCATTTCTATTTATAGAGCTTTGAACTACGTGTATATATATTTTTTTTGTTTACGTACAATTCATTATTAAATAGTATATTTTTTTTCTACTGAATAATTTGTCTTAACTTTTTCGCTATTAGAGGCAAGCTGCAATTCACCTTAATAAAATTTGAGGATGCTGAAAACAAAATAATCAATTTGAAAACAGATTAAAAGCAAACCTTATAATATTTGAGAAGTCAGAAAGGGATTGGTTAGTGAAGAGCTAGTTATATATTCTTTTCGGTGAGGGCTAATAAAATGCACCAATAAAACTATGGAGCGACGACCACCATATCAAGGAACAAAAAATAACAAATCAAAATGAAAAAAAAAAAGACAAAAAAAAAAAATAGCTAGTCAACATCAATTTGGCTGTGTTCACAAGATTTACGATCATTATGGCCAAGTGGGCGATATCTAAATGTGTTATCCATATGTAAATCATTTGATAAAATCATATAATCAAGGTTGAGAGAGAAATTCCGATCTTCTATACCGCATTCAAAAATAATTTAAAAATACAACGCAGTAATCAATTTTCTTAGAGAAGAAAAAAGGGGAATCAAACCAAAATCAAGTGGCCAAAATATTTGTTTGGACATGATCGGCGGAGGTCGATATTCCGATTTTGAAGAGATTGGAGAAAGAAAACGAGTGCACATGGCTTAACCTTAGTAAGGGTTGACCGTTGACATTTTCTTTTTCTTTTTACGAAAAATACCAAAAAAAGGAAATTGCACTAGATAGCTAAAGACTGATAGTGAATTAGAGAATTGACTATTGTTTTTCATCGCTCGAGCATTAAAATATTTTATCACACTCTCTCTCCAAAATACCCTCACGCGCTATCCATTTGTATCATATTATTCTACTAGATATTTATTTGATTACAACAATTGTTCATCTTGTCTTTATCTATTTGTCATCCACCTCTTCATCTTTCTTCATCAATGTAATTCTTCATCTCTTTTGGTATCTTCTGACCCCAATTTTCTTCCTTTCAACGACTTCATCTCGGTGGCTCCAATAAGATTAAGATGATCTCATTACTTATTTCCGATCTGACCATCACCGCCTCGGTCAAATCTTCACTCTTCACATCATTGGCATCGTTCTCGCTACTCGTCCACATGCATCTCCGAGAACGGAAAATCTTCTCAAAACAATCAATATACCATCAGATCTGGGGTTGAGCTATCAACTTTTCTGCCGAAACCTAACTTATGAGATTCTCCATTTTTTCCTAAGTAAGATTTTATTCTCACACTCATTGTTGGGTTTTCGAGATCATATTCGATTGATCTCGCTCTATGGATTGATTAACTGAGCGATCGCTCTAATCCAGCATTTCAAGCTATTGCTTTGATCGTGTTCTCACATATGTCAGATCTCAAATGTTTGTATATATCATATGTTGAACACATATATGCTATGTCAGTTTA